TCCCGCTCTCTAAAACGCTCCGTCTGGGATCATATTTCCGGATTCATTCGCAGAAACTGAGGAATCGTCAGAAGCAGCTCTGCTGTTTCAAACTCGGAGGCCTCGCCTGTGCCTCGCTGCTTCGATAAAGGAAAATCACAGAGGACTGCAGATTTAGATGCTTTAGTCACAAACTTTCTGAAGCTGTGATCGTGGCGGTGTGGGAGGTGTTTGAGGATAAGTGGAGATCTGCATGAAGCTGCGAGTCACATTAGCCTGTTTTCACAGGACTTCAGTCTGAATGTTTCATTTCACCGCGATCTACCCCCAACCTGAAATTTCACAATTTCTACACATGAAGCTGCTGAGAGTAGTTTAAGAAATCGAAGCTTCTTGTAAAGACGAAATAACGAGCTTTTGTTTTTAAAGCAGAGTGATGATTTAAAGGATTTGCGTGGAACTTTAAAACATTGTACTCGTGACGTGTGCGTCCCTCACATGTATGAGACGTGAAAGATGGACGTCATCACGCTGCTCCAGGCTGCTGGTTGTTGTAGGGCACAAATAAACTAAGAGGTCTGTTTTTCTTACACTTACTATGTTTGAAATGAGACTCAGTACAAACCACAAACTCGATGTAAGAGTTTATAAAGGCCCAAATTCTGCAGATGGTGCCGCAGAGGGTAAAAGAAAGTCTTAAAGATGAATGTGATGACATGTGCCAACCAGAGCAGCAGAGATGATTGCTCACAGAGCCACACGGGCCAGATCCAGTTCAGATGACTCCAGCAGCCGTGACCACGAGACGCTGACTTGAGCTGACACGCGTTCAAATGATCGGCGCTGCCCTCGTCTCAACTGACAGGTCTGCCGCTCATAACGATGCCTTGCTCTGACATTCAGACGGAGGACGACTGTCAGGAACCAGCGAGCCAACAGAACAGTTTGGCTGTGACGTTTGGAGGGACAGACTGAAGGTCAGGAAGGAAAATGTCTGTATGTCAACGCTCAGCAGCGACGACCAAATCAAACGCTTATCCACGTCGGAGTTTCTGCACGCATTTCCCCTTTTTACAGCTGGAGAACTGATCATTTCTACACCCGTCAATCTGCCTGCTGGGTCAGTTTTGGATCTCCTCCCACCTAAAAGGAGTTGCAGGAGAAATCTTCATCAGCCCAAACTATCTCAGGAAGCTTCTTTCACACCAAGGACCTGGCCTCTCTAAAGTTACCCACTAACCCACGGACTGTCCCCAACCCAGAGGGTTCAGTCCACCAATCTGTGGACTTCAGACTCGGAGGTGTTACCTCTGATCCGAGCCTCTGCAAACACAAAGTCTCAGTGTCTGTTTTTCCCTCTTTTGGTTCCTTTCTATTAATAATGTACCAGATCACTAATCCTGCAGATAGCTATATGGCCACATCTGCAACTTTCTCTGCCTTACATTTAGTTTTGGTGGATTCGGGGTGAGTGTCGCTGCCTCGCCTCAGCCACAGGTCCACATCCTGTGGACGGGCGTCGGGTGTGTTGAGACATTTGACATCATTATCTAATCCAGGCTATCATCAGCCCGGATCTGTGTGAGACTCTGCAATAAAGAAAAGTAAAATGGTAAATGGCCTGTATTTATATAACGCTTTACTTAGTCCCTAAGGACCCCAAAGTGCTTTATACATCCTGTCATCCACACATTCTCACACACACTGGTGATGGCAGCTACATTGTAGCCACAGCCACCCTGGGGCGCACTGACAGAGGCGAGGCTGCCGGACACTGGCCACCGGGCCCTCTGACCACCACCAGTAGGCAACGGGTGAAGTGTCTTGCCCAAGGACACAACGGCCGAGACTGTCCAAACCGGGGCTCGAACCGGCAACCTTCCAATTACAAGATGAACTGCTAACTCTTGAGCCACGATCTACATCAAGTAGAAAAACTCGATGTAAAATCAACATTACAGAATTAATTTATGTCAGTTTTCAAAATCAAAGTGTGTTATTCACACTCTGAACTTTTCATTTATTTATTCATGCGCACTTTTGTCATTTTCACTTTCTACAGATGTGACATTTGAACAACAAAGTTATTAAATAATAAACCTGTAAACTTCAGGCGGGGTTAGTACTCGGTCCATCACTGCAGTATTTTATTGTAATAACAGAAAAGAGCTGACATGATGACGCTAGTGTAGGGAGATTTAAATGAAACATGGAAAACCACAGACAGGGTCATTAAGGATTCACTGTCCAGCTGTCGTCCTCATTCAGCCAATCACAGAGCTGAAACAGAGGAAACCAGCCCAGAGAGCGGCGAGGACACAGCTGATCCGTTTCACACATCTTGACCGATCAAAGTCCAAATGATCGCACATCCACCTTTCCAACCAAGTGTGCTGGCTTTAGCTGAGAGCTCCACCCTCTCAGTGAAATCTTGGGAACTTTATCCAGTCGTGGACTTGGAAGTACAGGATTGGAGAAACAGGTAAAAACCATAAAGCACCAACAGCTTTAACTTCAGATAAATATGTTTTACAGTCGCTGCAAACACAGGAAACAGCCAGGGTGAGAAATGTGCTTCGAAAATGCCACAAAAACCTGATGAATCCTTTAATTAGCACCATTTTGGTCCAGAGTCAATGAGGCGTTCACTGTCAGCTGCTGGTTTCCTCCCAGTCTGCACCGAAACACCGAAACAGGCACAACGAGCAGCTTCCACATATCCAGTCAGACAGCACCACATGCATCATTCACACGACAGAGGAGAACAGTCGGAGCTCATTCACCCTGCAGGTTTTACAGTCTGAAAAAATCCAACTGTTCTTTGATTTCCAGGGTTGAAAGTTTCGATTCTGCAGGACTAAAAAGAAAACTTTTCAAGATGATTTAGGTTATAAATCTGAACTCATGGATGGAAAGTGACCCCGCCCCCCCACAGCTGAGGTTTGAGGAAACCAAATGAACATTAGAGGTGGGAATCACCATACATCCCACGATACGATATTATTGCAATTTTTTTAAATATGTTGCGATATTCAGATTCTGTACATAAAGGTAAACTTTATCAGTATTCATTTTATCTAATGTCAAAGTCTCACACTCAGTCTTTCTCTCATTTCAGTCAGTTTTATAAACTGAACGGTTTGTATTACAGTCTAGTCCAACTTAACTGAATCAACCATCTGGTACAATTATAGCTATTCTGAACTATGCAGTTTATGAAAACTATGCAGCCCCTTCAGCAACTGAAGAACTTGAAAGTAAATTAAAACAAAATATAATTTTACATTAAATAAAAAAGTTTTAAACTTAATTAAAATAAAACATGTCTTAAATTAAAATAAGTAAACTGTCATGTTTATTGCTGCCAAAAACAAGTTAAACACATTTGGACAGTGAAGGAATGTCAGGATTCTTGCTCAGAAAAAGGATCAACATGCTCTGAAGTCACAAAAACTTTTTTTGTAACAAAGTATCGATTTCTGCTGTCCCTGTATCGATACATTATTAGCAAACAAAATATCACGATGCTACACAGTATCGATTTTTCCCCCACCCCTAATGAATATGATTTTGTAACTAACCACGCTCCAGACTTCACTCTCCAGCAGTCATTGTAAAAAAAAAAAAAAAAAACCTACATTACATGCTCAGTGATTTTAAACCAGCATCAGCTCTATGGGAGGCTTTTTCACCTCTTGCCCACAAAATTACCTTCTGTTTTGGTGCAAACCTCTGTTATTAAACCTGTCTGCTGAGCGTTCGCCTGCTCTACTATTTGAATGAGCTCAGTTTGAAACATAGCTCTGTGTTAAAAGGTGCAAAGCAAAAAACCCCAACAGGGAAACCTTTTTGGAAAGCTTGTTAATGTGAGTCCAGCTTTTAGCCCAGAAATCTTCTCATTCTCACTCATTTGGGTCATTAAGGAAAACTGAACTTTCTATCAGCACTTCCTGTTTGTAAGCTAACAGTGGGCGAGCAGTCAGCCACCACGAGGACGTTCTGAACAGGTTTAAAGCTTCATTATCTTTGTTCTGCTGCATGTGGATTACAGACCTGATCAGAACAGTGATTTGAACGCTCTCATGCTGCCTGCAGGAGGAGATTCCACATATTTATGATACATTTTTCGTTTCACAGAAAAGAGAGCCGATCAGTCTTTATCAAAATAAAATTCAGAGCTGATTGTTTTTGCAAACTTACACAGTTCCTGATGTGATCACTCTCTCCAGTTCACCTACATTACCTTAGTTAAGCTAACAGCCGTCGCTTCAATCCGAGTTCAGAAAAATGAAAACTTAATGAATCTGGAATCTAGAAAGGAAATAAATGAATAAGAATTAGTGACGTTGTGTGTTTTGTTGCTTTGTTCAGCTTCAAACAGAATTTCATGTTAGCTGACAGTTTAACTTTCCATCTGGGCAGCTGTTTGTTTGAAGGCATGCGACGCTAACCCTTAAACTCAAAACTCTTCAGTCCAACATCAGCTCAGTTTTTAAAACAAGAAATATTTTTAAATTATCACTTTTTGTTATTTTCTATCAAATATAGCTTTAAGTTATGTTTGATGTCTGGATTAAATATCAAAGAATCTGATGAACTTGCATTAAAGTGGTCCCTGTTTTTTGTTTTTTAAAATATATTAAAGTACAAACACTGCCCCTCGGAAGGCTTCCTTATTTTGGCCAGTCAGAAAAAATTGAGCTTTTCGAGAGGCGGGGCTTAGAGTCCGGAACTGAAGCAGTTTGTCTGACAGAGGTCAGCATCACATAAACATGAAGAGTGATTAACAAATTTATATCTGACGCCACAGAGGCCCTAAATTTAAACAAAATGACCAAAATCATTTTAGATTTTTCTGTAATGTTAATTCACCAGTAAGTGTAAAAACTTTAATTAACATTGATTTTTTTTATGCTAAAATGTAATTATTGTTGTTGTTGAATTTTCTAATTTACTGTTTTCACAAAAATGCTGAAAAAATGGTGAAGTTGTTGTTTCTAAAAAATGTGTGTTTCCTTGTTTTTATGACTGGTTGTCTAATAAATTTGTTAAGGGCTGTATTTTTTTAAAAACTGTGAATCATAAAAAGCTTTTCTGACCTGGGATAAAAACACTGAGCTGGAATATGAACTGAAAGAGATCTGCAGTCAGGCTACGACTGCTCAGGTACGTCTGCGGCAGGTAAATAATATTTGTTTGATGAATCAGATTCAGGTTTTCATGAACTGTGTGTGACTCTAGCCAATCAGAGACTGCGGCTCGTTCAGGCTGATTCAGAGAAAACCCGGTCTTTAAAAAGCAACACGATATTTTCATTTCATAAATATTAATAAACTGACATGCTTGTACAAAAAATAAATATACACGTAACATCTCCATGACACCAATCCAGTTCTTCATCTCGTCAGGTGGTTGCCAGGCAACATGTAGGGTTGTTTTGACTGTTCTGTCTGCAGCGAGCAACCGTTCACCGTTACGTCGCCGTTTTCAAAGACGGGGAGCAATGAACCCATTTATCTGCCAATTACAGCAACTTCCCATCACGTGGGTTCAGACATCAACAACATGTCGCGTGGGTCAAGTACATGGATTTGGTTTTTGAAAAATGACCTGAAATATGTGAACAACACGTTTTTAACGACAAGAGGGTGAAATCAACAGTTACATCACATCAGGACGGAAGTCAATAAAGTGCATAAAACCACAAAAAAAACAGTCATCTGATAAAAACCTACATGTTTTATACATGGTATAAATAAAGTTTTCTCTGTGCATGCAGTTAGTGAAGATTCTGGCGTTTCTTCATGTTTTCCTTCTCTGACTCGATCTTCTTCATCCGTCTGCGGAGGCTTCAGGTTTTATGATCTGGTAGGTGATCAGGTACTCGGGGTAGGCCTGTGGGCGGCAGAGAGGCGTTCACTGACACTCTGTAACAGACACTCAACCTTCCCCAGTTACACCGAACAAAAAACTGATTCTTTCATTTACATTTTCTCTACAATCACTTTGAGCTGGTGTATATGAAACGTGCTATTCATAAAAGGTTTCATGACAATTTTACACTCACAGAAACTCTGCAGCTGTTCATCATCAACTCCATTTATATTCACAGAAAGCTTTGAAACCTTTTCATGCACACAAGTGATGAAAACAGATTTCTCTTGAAACAACACCGAGTTAACCCCCCAAACTAGCTCTGAGCTCAGTTCGTTCTCACTCACTCAGTTTGTTGTGAGGAGCTGCTGGTCGGCCTGGAACTGAATTTAAACTCAAAACAAGGAGAGATGTTTCAAGGCGAGCCACAGGCACCTCTCTGCTTGTTTGCGTTTGCAGGAAGACGACAGTAAATGTGACACTCTGACATTTTAACGTCCCCACTTCCTTCTCGTCCTCTCAGGCTGCTGCTTTCAGCACTAAAGCAGACCTCTGCATGTAATGCGACACACTTGTAACGTGGCTGATTGCTCGAGTGGACATGTATTCATGCCGCTTTGTGAAGTGCCACTTCTGAGAAGATATTGGTTTTGGCACAAGACATTAGAAAACGTCCAATTGTCTGAGCACGAGCTGCTCTCTCCACTTATTCAACGACTATCTGTCATCTGGCTGTTTGTGTAGGAGACGCGTCCGCCCTTCAGAGGAAAGCTGAAGCCAACACGGCCGTGCTGCAGATTTAAACAAAGCTCCACAGAGTTCGGTATTTAGCACGCTCTGGTTTTTGTGTTAAACCTTTAATAAAATTTGTGATTATTTCTTCAAAACTCTTAATTAACCCAAAATATTTGATGTTTCTAAGACTCCAAACCACAGACTTTATCCAAAAATAAAGTTCTAAGGGTGACGAGGTGTTTCTGACCTGCTCTCCTCTGTAGATGACGTACTCGGCCAGAGCGAGGCCGTTAACGCTCGGCCTGCCGGTGACGGAGTGGTGACCTGGCGGTGAATGAGCCATCTTCATGGCGCTGAACTGCAGGAAGGATTTACCCAGAGTCACCCTGCAGAACAACAGGTGCCTGCGAGGAACACAAAGAAGCGTGAGAGTGGTGCTCCGCTGCAGTCTGAGCACAGGTGTGTTTGGGGGTGGAGGGTGGAGGTCAGGTGGTGTACCTGTGGCAGACGTAGCAGGAGCGGTCTTTGTGGACCGGACAGCCCGTCCCTCCTCCGATGCCGTAGACGTACTGGTTACTCTTTGACGAGTTCTCTGCAAAGTAAATCCCGGCGCCGAACATCCCCCCGATGTACGCGTGGCGTTCGTCGAAGCCTTTATGGATGATGGCGTTGACGAACGGCGAGCCTGAGAGGGAATCGATACAGTACGATCAACGCCCACATTAACATTACTGTTTCATGTCATGATTCCTATGATTCACGCTTCTGTCCCAACAAGTCTCTACTTCACTATCTACCTGTGAGAGGTTACCAACAAAGCTCTGAGCACATCTGCACAGATCCCAGGACAGCTGCCATTTTTACATCTGTCCCTGAACGTCTCATGTCCTCTAAAGCCTCGAGGACACAAACAGCTGCAGGCCTGACGGCTGAGTTTTCAGTCCTGTCGTTCTTCTTTATAATCCGCTTCACAGCCATGTTGGGCGCATGTGTGGTTGGAGATGAGTCCACGTGGTCACATGAAGCAGCCAGGCATGCAGACGTGCACGGACCGTCACTCAGACCGTGGCAGACTCGTGAAAATAAACTCCAGGCCTCGCACTGCAAGATCACCCCGATCACAGACAACTCTGTGACTTTGACCTGAATTGGTGTTTATTGGATCGTCGCCGGCGATGGGAGCTGGGAGTCCGTCTACAGTCCACCGTTCACAGGCAAACATCAGAGCAGAAGACATAGCAGATGTCATCTCATGCTGGCTTTGAGTTTTTGAGCCACACCAACACATTCTTCACTTGTGACACTTCCTGAAAATCAAAATCGTGTTGAAGCATCAGTGTTTCGACACACCCGAGGAGCTTTAGAGGAGAAGGGGAAACAGCCGGACTTCCACGGAGGGATCTAAGAATGGCAGCTGTGCTGAAAACCAGCGATGTACGTGGCCAAGTTTAAATCATGCAAGTCTTCCCCCACTGCTCTACATTGGTACACCTGATATTATAGAGGTTAGATCTGTTGACTGTCCTCCTGCTACCATCACAACACTTCTGCTGCTTGTTCCTATAACATGATCTTTGGTGTTCTGACCGTGAAACAGCATGCGCTCATTGGAGTGGTTGTGGTTTTCCTCAGACACTTCCTTCCTGCGGTGGCTGTACCTCTCCCACAGCTTCTTGTTGCAGACCTTCTGGATCTGAAACACAATCAGCTGAGAGTCAACACAGTGACCTCCTCTAACCTCTGACCCCACCACCGTCGTGCCCAACAGATGTTCATGTGAGAATAACAAGGTCCCGTGGAGCTGGGTCACAACATCCTGCATCTTAGCACCAAGTCTGTGATGGCGGCCGTGTGTAAGACCTGCATTCTCATCTAAACCAAACAAAACAGAACTCGTACAATGAAAATGATCTCCTGTCATGTGCTACACGTGAGAGAGGGCGGCTTCAGATTCTTCATCTATGAAAGCAAATCAGCCCACAGCTCAGAAAATGACCCAGCAGCAGCAAAGACACAGCCCTCCAAGTCTTCGCAGCGAGTTACCTTGACCAGGTTGTATCTGTTGAAGACTCCTCCAGCGTGGCCGCCGTCCCGGTGCTCTCTGATGGTGCTCTGCATCTGACCAACAAAAACAAAACCACATTAGGACCACGGCCTGGTAGGCTGTTAGGCCTTTAATCTCAGCAAACGTCCTCTCTGTGTTCACTGCCACCTGCTTTAGGTTCTTCACACTTTCACTGTACGTGTACTTTATTCTGTGCACACGACACGTTTGTGTGTCCTGAAGTAAGCATCGCTCACAGCTGGCTCTTTCACAGCGATGAAATAAATCAAGAGTTTCAGAGTTAACCTGCAGGTCTCATCATCAGGTATGAGTCAGTACCTCCTCCTCCACCGACTGGAACTCCTTGTCGTCGGCCGAGAGGTCGATTAAGATCGTCCCACTGTTGGCTGTGTTCAGCGTCAGATACGGATTCAGACCTGTCACAAACACACAAATCAGGAGTCTCTCAGATACGATGGAAAAAAGCTTAAAGCAAGCCAACCCTGACCCAAACAGTCAAAGTCATCGTGGTTACATGGGGCGATCGTGGCTCAAGAGTTGGGAGTTCGCCTTGTAATCGGAAGGTTGCCGGTTCGAGCCCCGGCTTGGACAGTCTCGGTTGTTGTGTCCTTGGGCAAGACATTTCACCTGTTGCCTACTGGTGGTGGTCAGAGGGCCCGGTGGCGCCAGTGTCCGGCAGCCTCGCCTCTGTCAGTGCGCCCCAGGGTGGCTGTGGCTACAATGTAGCTGCCATCACCAATGTGTGGATGACTGGTTGTGTAAAGCGCTTTGGGGTCCTTAGGGACTAGAAAAGCGCTTTACAAATACAGGCTATTTACCATTTACCATGCCTCGGTCCACCTGCTGGTATAACATGTGTTTTCTCTTCATTCATTAAAGCTTATGAAATGATTGGAATGTGTTTCAGTCATTAGGTGGAGGAGACCTAACCCCCTGGCTCTCGTGAACCTCATCAGTAAGAGGAGGGGGTCCTGTCAATCAAAACAAGGGGCCTTAAAGGGGGAGGAGCTAAGAAATTATGCTCAGATCAGAGAAATAAAGATTATTTAGTGTTGGGAATCATACAAAGCTGCTCTGATAGAGTCCAATGATACAAATCTAGAGCGCACAATGAGCAGAATAACTCCAGTTTAAATGTGTGTGTGTGTCCTCACTCTGCGGCCCACTGATGAGCCTCTCCACTCCTTTGATGATCTTGTGTCTGTGTCCGTAGGCGTTGATGCCGATCTCCTTCAGCTCGCGATGACCCATCTCCACCAGAACGTCTAGAGTGATCTACACACACACACACACACACACACACGTTTACTGCCAGAAGCTTAAAACTGAGTCAGAAACCATCTGCAGGCCTTTGCTTGATTCTTTTATTTGCACTGAAACTAAACGACTCTGAAACAGATTGTTTATGAAGCGCGACAGCTGTCACCCAAACTAACCAAGCAAAGGTCATTACAGCTTCTCACAGCTGCTGCAGAGTGGTTTTACTTTTCATTCATCTAGGAGTTTTATCAGCATTCATGTGAAAATTATGCGCAACTGCCAGGTGCTGCTAATCAGATGCTTTTGATAAACTGATGATCAACACGTGAATATAAAAGATAAAAGTTTAGGCAGACTCTACAGGTCTCAGTTAGCATGTTAAAGGCCAGAGTTCATTGGCTGTTTGGGGGGGCTGCAGCAGAAAGCCTCCTCTCTCTGAAACAACATGGCCGCACAGCTTTGGTTTGCACAGCTGCACCTGAACAAACCCAAAGACTCCTGGGACAACGTCCTTTGGACAGGCGAGACTGAAGTGGACGTGTTCGTCCATTAAGCAGAGCAGCACATTGTGACTGTGTGCGAGGTGGTGATTTCAATGTTACCTGTGCTGGTCAGTGATTTTAGTCCCATCTGCAGAGGATGGTAGTCAGTTTTCACCATCTCCACTCCTGGAGTGAGCTCCCATTTGTCAGGAAAATGAGCTGTAATTTAACTCATTTCCACTTTCATGTCCCAGTTTTTAAAGTAAATCTTTTAAAGTGAAAATCAGCCCTGTGTGCTGAAATGGGAACATGTTAATGCCAATAAGTAGTTTATGAGCCAAGAAGACAAAGAAAACAAAGCTCTGATTTTTTTAAAGGTGTTAACAGCAGCCGAATCATGTGTTAGCACTTCCTGTTGATATCACTGGATATCTGTGATCTTCAAGTCTCTCCACAGTAACAGCAGGAATAATTGTTGTTCATCAGTCCTTTCAATGGATGGAAAGTTTCCTCATATTTAAATAAAGAAATTCTTCAATGAAAGTCGGTGCAGCTAATGTTCTTGTACCTGCCATCACTGTTTCCTTACACACGGGAAACCTGCCAGTAGTTTGCCGGTGTCGAAGTTCTCACCTGCTCCCTGTCGAAGATCTCCAGAAGATGCTCCAACCCCAGGTTCTCCAAGAACTGACAGATGCTGAGCTCAGTCCCTGAACAACAAACACAATCAGTTCAGAAACCAAAACAAGACGGCATTCATCCAGAGGCTCTCGGCACGCGATCCACAGGGATACAACTGACTGCAGTGGGAAAAGGAAAAAAGCAATTAAGTAGAACATCGCTCAGCCTGTTACCAAACTGGACGGTTCACACCGTCTGTGACAGAAACCCAATTGTCCCTGCAGCTAACACTCGGGCAGGATACGTCCTGGTTGTCACAGCTTGATCGGATTGGTGGCGTCTTCTTTGGTGATGCGTTTGGCTCGCCGTAGCTCAAACCTCATGGAAGATATTTAACTGATACTACAGTGATCCTGGGATTGATGTAGAACTGAGCATTTTTGCCCTTAGCACCTCAGCTTTCTGAAAGCATATGTCATGCTCCCTGTAGTGGCTGAAAAGTTACCCTAAACTCTGACTCTAACAGGACCAAAACTTCCAAAATGAAGATCATGTTTTATTCAGTCATAATAAAATAATAAAGTAGTAAAAAGAAAGCAAGAGGAAGCTTTTTATCTCCTGGACTTCAGGAGTCGCCCCCTGCTGGCCAGTTTAAGGCTCTTCAGCTCGGACCTCACTTGTCAGACCTTCAGCGAAAGGTTAGCTGTTGATTTCACATCAGGGTTTTTTTTAAATCACTGACCTTCATCTTTTTTCTCTGTGCCCGGGGATCCCTCCACAGCCAACAGCAGGGCCGACATCTCAGGAAATGGTGAGGACGATGATGGCGGCGGCGAAGACGAGAGGCTTGCAGCAGCGGCTGTGTTACTGGTCGCTGCTGCAGATGTGGAGGAGGAAGAGGTGGAAGGGGAAGAAGACAGGAGGAGAGAAGGTGTGGGGCAGGCGGATGACGAGGAAGGGTTGGAGGAGAGGAGTGGTGGGATGGCGGTGACAGGTGGAGCACCGGAGGCAGACACCGCTACGCTGATGACCTGAGGTTTGTAACAGCCAGGGAGAGCGGAGGGAGGCATTGCCGCTGTTAGCAAGGCCCGGACATCATCAGCCTGCAGGAGGAAGAGGAGGAGGAGCTTATCAATATGTTTTATAACCACATGCTGTTTTATGGTGGACTGTCCCTTTAACTCAGTGTGAGACTGACTGTGACCAGGTCCAGAGGCGACTGTCCTTCCTGGTTCCGCAGGGTCGGGTCAGCGCCGTGAGCCAATAGGAGAGCACAAAGCTGCGTGCGTCCCTTCTGAGCGGCCTCGTGCAGTGGCGTGAACGCCCACTTATCAGTGGCGTTAACACAGGCGTCGTACTTGATAAGGAGAGCCGCCACATCCACGTGCTAGAAGAGATGGCACAATGTTCACACTCAGCAGGCTTTTATTGTGAAAGGAAATAAAAACTGATTTATGTCCTCTGATAATCGTGTTTGTGAGATGTGAAGACACACACACACACACACACACACACACACATGCTAACTGTGTCATTTCCCTCCTGCTCACTGAAGTGTGTTTGTTCACACTCCGTCTCCAGCTCACCAGTCTGTGTGTTTTGGTGCACTTAAACCAAAAGGGGGCGCCACAGGGGAAAAAACAAAAGCTCAGTTAAAGCCTTTATTACTGCCACACACAATAGAGCACAATAAGGCCACATTAGACACAATGGCACCACTGTGTGGTCAGTTTAAAAACTACAATTGAAAAGTTGTGGAGGACTTTTGTTCCTCATCACAGGGCAAAGCTTCAGCTGGAGTTCATAATAATAATAATAATAATAATAATAATAATGGATTGGATTTATATAGAGCTTTTCAAGGCACCCAAAGCGCTTTACAATTCATTCACTCTCACATTCACACACTGGTGGAGGCAGCTACAGTTGTAGTCACAGCTGCCCTGGGGCAGCTGTGACTACAACAGCTGCCCCAGCTGTTGTAGTCGATATGGGGCGATATGGCGAGGCTGGCATATCGCGCCATCGGCCCCTCTGGCCGAGTTCAGATGTGGTTTTAGGAGTCAGTTTTAGGTTCAGAGCTAACGATGTGTGTGAATGTTATCCCCGACTCACCCCGTACGAGGCAGCGTTGTGCAGAGGGATCAGTCCACCTTTGTCCTGAGAGTTGACCTCAGCTCCGTGCTGCAAAAGGTACTCTGCCACCTCCAAGTTATTATAGCCCGCTATACACACAAAGAAAAACATGCGTATACATATATATGACGGTATGTTGGAGAAATTAATAATGCAAGAGAATAATTTAACATTTAATAGAATAATTTAACTTTAGCAGGATGTAAAATACAAATTAAATGTGGAATCAAATATGTGAAACTAGATATCACAAAAACAAGTCCTCTTTGCCATCGAGCATTCAGGCGTCACTTTGTCATGACTGTAAACTGTTTATATATATAAACAGGATCTTAAAGTGAAACCACTTAAACCTGCATTCTTTGGCCAGCAGGGGGCGACTCTACTGCGTGCAAACTTCTAATATATATGTGCAGCTGATAAGCTGCTAAAATGTTTTGGATCCTTTAATTTGTTACTAACTTGTTACAAATGTAACAAAACTATCCCCATAAACAGCTCCACACCAGGGGGCGCTGCACAGTGGAGGTAACACGGACTGTCCTTTAAGACTACACCTGCATGAATAATGTAGGCGCTGGTGTTTCAGGTGTGTGTATTTATGTACCGGCTAAGTGCAGCGGCGTGGAGTGCCTCCCGTGTTGGTCTCGACAGTTGACGTTGTCTTGAGTACAGAGTTTCTTCACTCGAGCCAGGCAGCCTTTCTTGGCGGCGTCCAGCAGGGCGGCGTCACCCCGCAGGAGGTCCTGGATGTCCGTGTCGGCGTCCTTCACCAGATCCAGAGGGGTGTTACCGTCCCGGTTTTTCCGGGTTGGGTCGGCGCCATGCTGGAGCCAGGAAATAACCAGAAACTGGCAGTTCGACTCTGATGTTCAGTGAGCTGTGTGGTGTTGCTGCTTCTATCCTTAAAGTGTTTATTCATTTAAAACACGTGTGTGTGTCTGTGTGTACCTGCAGCAGGAGTTTGCAGATATCGTATTTGCCTTTGGCGGCAGCTTCGTGCAGCGGTGTGAACTTCCAGAGGTCAGCCACGTTGACCACGGCGCCGTGAAGAACGAGCAGTTCTGCGACTTCATAATGACCGTAGGAACAGGCGTTATGGAGAGGAACCAAACCGCTGCAGCAGAGACAGAACCACGACTTCAGCGCACATTTTTCCACCACACAGAGATGAAGTCTGACACATTTCTTTCATGGCTGCTCAAGTCTGAAGACACGCAGTCCTCCTCCTCACCCTTTATCCTTGGCGTGGACGTCGGCTCCTTGCTGCAGCAGGAACTGGACGACTGCCAGACGGTTGTAGCCGGCAGCGAAATGCAGCGGCGTGGACTGCCGACCCTCCACATCCCTGCAGTTCACGTTCTGTGCTGTGCAGAGCCTCTGCAGATGCCGATGAACATGGTGTGCAGAGACAAAGAAAGCAGAGAAAAAGGGAAAGAGTTAATTTGTTCAGTAACTTTAAGTTCAACAATGAAGCAACATCTGGACCAACAGAACCTGCAGTTCCTCTAATGTCCAGCAGGGGCTCCAGCATTGAGTAATGCAGCTGTAGCTCCTAGCTTTTGCTAGTGAACTGGAGTCACTGAACATTTTGATGACGTGAATGTGTTCCTGGCTTTAGAAATCAGACTGGTCCTCTAACATGGCTAACCTTGACGACGTCCACATCTCCTGATTTGGACGCTTCTAGCAGCTGTCGGTCGACTTCAGAGTTCCCGATCAGAAATCCTTCTGCAGAGACAAACAAATGAAACACAGATGAGCAACAAAGGTTTAAAACTAGTTTAGGTTTAAAACTAGCCGCCTGCTCACTTATTTTGCAACAAGTGAGCAGGCAGCTCATTTTCTCATGACTTGGTTTTAGAACAAGAGACGTCGCCCTCTGCTGGTAATTAGAATGAAGGCAGGTTTAAGGCACTTAAGCCACACCCACCTTTCATTTCAGTTTATGGATTTTAAAAAGAGGACGCAGCAAAGACACCATGTGTCTAATAATCATTATTCTACTGATTTTGTCGTCTTGATAAATCAGTTGATCACAGACGGTTTCTCCCAAATTTACGAGTTCTTAAATTAAATTAAGTTAAAGGTTAAATAAATGGAAAAACATGACTGTATTCCAAACATCCACATGTGTTTGGTGCAGCAGTGTTTCCAATACCTGCTTTCCTTCTTCGAGTTAAAAAACTGACTATTAAAAGCAGACGTGATGATTTCCGTCACCTTGCAGTATCTCCTGCACGCTCTCGTTGCCCAGCTGTGACGGTGACAATCCCTGCAGCGACGTGAGCAGCGGGTCGCAGCCGGCGGTCAGCAGCAGCCTGCAGGTCTGCAGGTGGCCACAGCGAGCGGCTCGATGCAGCGCCGTTTGGCCGAGATGATCCACCGCGTTCACCTGGACGGAAACGACAGGCGGGATTCGTCTCAGGTGTTTCTGATGCTGCAGCGACACTTTCTAATGAACGTGCTTGGGATTAACCACACATTTCAGCTGCCGTTCACTCACCTTCGCTTCATGTTTCACCAGAACCTCAATGACATCGTTGTGGGCTTTCTCTGACGCCATGTGGAGCGGGGTCTGCAGGCTGAGGGAAACAGTGACATCGCAAAAAGATCAGGAACTGTGTGACATCACAAACATCACTGAAACAGGAAGTAAAACGCTCTGACACCTCGGGACTCACTCTTTAGTCTTCTCGTTGACGTTGGCGCCCTTCCTCAGCAGAACTTCACATACTTGCTTCCTCTTTGGGTACGGAGAGGCAGACGCACAATGCTGAGAGCGCACACACACACACACACACACACGCTTGTTTTTAACACTGAAAATTGTCAATCCATTAAAATCTGTGTGAGTAACTCGGGGCGACTGCACAGGACTGAACACGGCGCCTCACCAGCGCCGTCTCCTGAGTGCGCGGGTGTTTGAAGCTGATGGTCTCCACGCTCAGATGCTTCTTCACTTGAACCATGTCGGCGTCTCTCGCTGCCTGCAGCAGGCTGTGACCTCTGAACTCATCTGAGAAAACAGAAAATCCTCGATGTGCACGCTAATCTGCTAATGACTGTTTGACTTATTTTCTTACAAAGAGGGAAACAGGACGTACAGGCGAGCTGCTCCTTCAGCTGTGCGGTTGGAGCGAGGTCGACGGAGCTTTTATCGTGACAGTTCAGGAAGGTGGGGTCGGCGCCGTAGCTCAGCAGCAGAGAGCACACCTGTGCAAACACACGAGGGCCACCTGAGTAAGAACGGGGGAGGAGGGACTATTTCTACAGCAGAAAGTAGTTCCGGTGCCCATGATGCTGTGCTCTGTGCCAAACATAAGGCCTGAGGGCCAGAATCAGCCCGGCAAAGACTCCAATCTGGCCTACTGGACATTTTTGGAAAAGCTAAAAGACGACACAGATTATGGACTTTAACTTGATTTTCACAGATTTCACAGCTTGTCCTGCTGATAAAGACAGAGCCATAGTATAAAGTAAACGCAGAGTTATAAAGTAATAGACAATTAAATCTGCAGTAGAAATATATGTTTCTATTCTGTGTTGACTTTTAGACATTTATTTTTTTAGATTAAGGCCAAAGAGTGGAGCTGGCAGATCTCCTCAGCAGCACTTCTTTTTCTTACATTGAGATTTCTCAGGGATTAAATGTGCAGTTAAACTTTTTCACCTGCACTTAAGATCAAAGCGGCCTGTGCGTGGCCCGCAATAATCTGCTTCATATTTATTGGTTATTTGGATGAAGCAGAAGGAGAAAGAGCGTACACGGTGTCATTTCAGAAGCTTAACTGGCATCACAGTGAGATTTCGTCGGGAACAACAAGGAGAAAACATGTTTAATGAAGGCGCAAATATCCGACACAATGAAGCGCCATCTAGTGACCAAATAAAAAAAAACCGCAACCTCGAGGATGCTCTGAGTGTAAGAGCTGCATTAAGGAAAAAATTTTGCATTTTAATTAAAATGCAAATCTTCAGTTTTTCCATCCTGAAAATTCTGTTGATGAATGGTGTCCTGCAGGTGTTGAGCTCCAGGGTGCGCTGTGATTGGCTGTAGTGAGTTTTGTGTGTGTTTTACCTCAACGCGGTTCTTGGAAGCAGCTTCATGCAGAGGCGTGAACTGCCACAGGTCCATGGCGTTCACGCAGGCCCCGTGCTGTACATGGAGACGGGACGGATTAGTATGGGTATGATCCCCCCCCCCCACCATGTGCACAGTGCCCGCTCTGCTTGAGCCTGATAAAGTGACAGATACCTTCACCAGCAGCTCGGTGACCTCGTAGTGGCCGTACGAACAGGCGTTATGAAGAGGAACCAGGTCCCTGAAACAAACACAACAGCGGTCAAAACTGCTGCTGCGTTTAACACGTCACAGCCGAGGTGGAGCACTGCGTGTTAAAGAAAACCATCCACAGACTGCAGGCCTCTGTTGAGCCTTACAGACAAAGGAAAGGGCAAAGAAGCTCCACACAAGCACTTACCCCTTATCCTTGGCGTGTACGTCAGCACCGTGCTGCAGTAACAGCTGCACCGTCTTCACGCGGTTGTAACCAGCGGCGAGGTGTAGCGGCGTGGACTGAAACAACAACAGCACCCGGTGGTGTGTTACAACACAGGGACACAGGGACACAAGCCTCCACCCTGCTGTCAGAGTTATGACCTGCACGGAGAGTTTCTCTACATGAGTCTATTCATGTGAGCCACGCTCACCAATGACCCACCACTAATCCATTAACCCTGGAGAACCCATGGGTTCTCCAGGGTTAAACACAAGGAGCTGGATCCAGTCACGATTTTTAGGTTCTGTCTCCATTTATTTTTTAGACATTTTACTGTTATTTTAACAATTTCATTCATTTCTGCATTATTTGTGCTGGTTAACAATATTTAAACTATGTATCTGTTATTTCTATTTAACTCAATAACTTTCAGTTTACTTTAACCAGTTATCAGGGGCGGAGCTAAATGGGGGGCACCTGTGGTTCCCATGTGCCCCAAAATGTGATTAAACTGATTAGGCATCACACACTTCTTAGAAAAAAGCGTTCAGCTCAGTCTGATATAAATTCAGACCCTCCTCGTTACCTTTCGCCCATCACTGGCGTGACAGTTGACGTTGAGCGGCGTCAGCAGAGCCATCAGCTTCTGTTCGTTCCCACTCCTGTGGAGACATCGGCATCACGTTCAACCAACCACAGCTGGAGTTTAATTAATTATATTGAAGACGTCTATTACAGAAAAATCTGCTGATGTGTTTTCTCATGAATGTCAGAATCTACTGAAACGAGAGCAAGCGCTGACAGACTCTCACTTCCTATGTTTCTGAGAAATGAATCAAAAATCCTGATGAAAAGCAAAACTTCACATTTAAGCAGCTAGAAAAGAGAAATTTGGGGATTTTTAATTTTAAAAATGACACTTGCTCGGTTCAGCTGTAACATCTAAACATTTATGCTTCAACCAAACAAGGTGATACAGAATTACAGAGTACTGTACCTGGCACTTTCCAGAAGCTCATCTTTTCTGTATTCACCTGCAAACAAAAGAAAACAGAAAAAAAAACCACAGGAAGAAGCTGATAAAATGCTTCTCTAAACTTGACCTTTGACCTCTTTTTCTTTCAGTCTTAATATGAACCACAACCAAAGTAAAGGCTAATGCGAAAAAAAAAGTAAAACAAAGCTCAATGAAATTAACAATTTGCTAACATGCTAATGTGTAGCAGCTATGTTTACCTTTTTCTGAGTGTATTTGCCATAAATACCAAACGAAACTATTCTGCTCATTGTCTTTGTTTCTGTGCTGAGTCTCGACTAGAGAAGCTTTGCCTGATTTATCTTATTTATCGTAAAGTGAGTTTGATGTCAGCTCATCGTAATCGTAGCAAAGATCTGCAGAAACTGAGTAAACGGAGCAGTGTGAGGGTTTCTCCCTCAGGGATTACAGTCAGCGCATCACTGTGGGCTAAGTGATGGACGGAGATGTTTCATTTGATCATCCAACACAGTGAGATCATATGTCAGACAAATAACCAAACTTTAAACAAAGATTAAAAAGTGTCAAAGGCAAAAATCTATCAACACCAAAAACAAAATTTTTAGGAATATGACAAAAACCAGGAAACAAAACCACATAACTGCGAAAAACCATATAAAAACCATAAAAGTCAGATTTACTGTTTCATGTGTGTTTACAGAAGAGTGAGACAGACTAAAATCAGAGGAAAGGACATGATGTGCTGGAAGTGTGATTATTGATACACGTTCATGGTCACAACTGAATAATAATTTATCGAGACGGGGCCGTGACCGCCTCGTCCAAACTTTGTCACAAACAGGTGAGCTCTAACACCTGCAAATGTCCCCGTGAGGTCCAGC